AAGCATGCGAGCGAGTGGACAACGTTAAGGAAGAGGCTCTAATCGGCGAAGAAGCGACCTGGGCAAATCCTAGGACCGTAACCAAATGCCTCGACCATGGGGTCTGGCTGGTTTATGGGCTCAGGAAACGCGTAGGGTCGAACGACTCAGGATCAGCGTATACCGACGGATCATGAAGGAACCATTTTGCTACGGGGAGAAGCATAGTATCCTTTGGAATATGGTAACCGTCACAGTCGAAAGCTTCGATAATAAATGCTAATATCGAGATACTAGGGAAGAATGATACCTAGACTTCGTTTGGCGATTTTACTACTTATTAGAGATAAAGAGTTACGTGCGAAACTATATTTAGATGAGTTACCGTAAAGTACAAATACTTGCTCGCCCAACATTCAAACACTGAAGCCCTTAGATCCCAAAGTACCAAGTTCATCCGCGCTTCACAACCCTTTCCGCTTTTCGCACCCCCTTTTTGTCCCCTTTTCCCTGGCTTCACGTTCATCACCGCCACGATGAGGGCCTGGAAACTCTGCCTGGCTCTGGTAGCTGCTAGCGCACAGGCTGACCAAGTTCCCTTGGCCCGCACCGCCAAGGTCGGCTACCTCAACATGCCGCACCAAGACCAGGACGATAATACCCTCAACCCCATGCAAAAGCTTCCCACATCCTCCGCAAAGCTGATTTCCATCGATGACATTCGTCCCGTGCCGGATGCTGATGGCAATCCTCGCTGCTGTCCAGTGGGCACTGTCAACGACGGAACTGGCTGCGTCTTCCCCGAGTCCAGCATCTGCCCTGAGGGAACCAAACTCATCGGCAACCTCTGCATGACCAACGCTCCGCCCAGTTGTCCCGATGGCCTACACTTTGACGGCCAGGTTTGCGTCTCGAGGGAGCCGCCGCGTTGCGAGCCAGGGACCAAGTTCAACGGACGTCTTTGTGAGACCGAGTCCAAAGCGTCCTGCCCCCGCGGAACGTACTTCAACGGCAAGAACTGCATTTCCGATGTCCCCGTTGGGTGTCCCCCTGGTCACAGCCCCGCTGGTCGACCTTTGACGGTCAAAGCTGCGTTGCACCCCAGCCACCTGTCTGTGGCAGAGGCTTGACCTTCAACGGCAAGACTTGTGTCTCCGAGGCTCGTCCTAATTGCTCACCACAAACCTATTTTGACGGCCGCCACTGCACGCATAAAAAGGGACCCTCGTGCCCCAAGGGTACCGTATTTGATGGCACTATTTGCGTGTTCCCTGGCCGTCCCAATTGCGAGAATGGTACCGTATTCGACGGCCAAAGATGCGTCGGAAACGCGAAGCCTAAGTGCGCGAACGGTACAGATTTCGACGGCGAGGGCTTCGTGGCGAGGAAGAAGCCTACGTGTCCCCGTGGCACCGAGTTCAACGGCGAGGTCTGTATCTCCAACACCAAGCCTGCCTGTCCTCCTGCTACGGTCCAAAAGGGTGCCAAGTGCATCTCGAAGAAAAAGCCGTCCTGTGGCACTGGACTTGTACTTGACTCAAACAACGACTGCGTCTCGAAGAAGCAGCCCAAGTGCGAGGATGGGACGCTCTTCGACGGCAACAGATGCGTCGCCGGCAAGGGAAGCGCTGACTGCTATGCTTTGAATGTCTGCCCACCCGTTGCGATGGGAGCGTTCCCCATGCCAAACAAGCCAGCAGATGATGAAATCGAGGACGACTTTGGTAGAGGAGAGGTCACTGTCACCGAGGAGATGTCTCCTGAAGCTACTGCTGAAGATGAACAAGCCGATGATTCACCATCTCCTGCTGAAATGGTCGATGACGATGATGTCCTCGACTCCGGAGACCCTGACGAAGAAGAAGAGGAGTACTCGTATTGAGCGCGGTCGATTGACGACTCCTGAAAGCTTCTTCGTCACGATCCAATGTGGCACGGACGGCTTGGACATATCGCGGTAGCTTGCCAAGCACTACTAACCTTAGGTCAATAGCGGATCTCCCTTTTGGCCCCTCTGGCATCATATCAAACATCTGACATCTATCTTTTGCTTTATTTCTCATTTCATGTCTTTTCCCTCTACAATTGAGGAGATCATTCAATTTCTCAAGGAACCCTGGCCGACCAGTCCCGTGGGGCACGTTATATACAGAACCGCTTATTAATCTATTATATAGCCTAGTCTTTACTCCACTATAGTTAAAACGAATAATTTACATCGTTTTTCCTTGCTATAATTTTAGAATAATATACCTATTCCTATGTTTCGATATAACATGCGTTCTCTAGTTAACTATATAGCGCTTATATACTCTTTAACTAAAAAAGGAAAACAATCTTCGCGAGTGTCTACCTGAGGCTTCCAAAAGGTAGGTCGAGTCTGGCTGTCCTAGTGTCAGATGAGAAGACTCCTCGCCGCAAGAGATCATCTGGCAAATCGCATCGCTAGAGCAACACACCCATCGTCCGACGTGCTGAGATCATCCGGTTCACGAGACAGCTTCTCTGCAGAATATTGCGAGCTCTCCCCAGAACCACAATGGTCGATGAAAAGCATAGAACGTGAAGCAGCACAATGTCGCCAAAGGAAAGAAGGCGGGTTTTGAAACAAGAGCAGTACAACAGCCTAATGAGTCGATGTGAATCTAACAGTTGCCAAATGGTCAGTGAATGGCCATATTACGATGAGAGCTATGTCAAGAAGCATTATTGAACGCGGTGCTCGAAGTGCAGCTACGCTCGGGCGGCGGACGCCATCAGCATACAGATACACGAACGGCCTCTGCCGCATAACCGCCTAGAGGCATCCTTAACTGTCTTTGAGCTTCTGATCATGGCGCGATACGACTACCTTTCTTCAATTAACCGTATTGGGATCGGCATATTGCTCGCACCAGCAACCTCGAAGCGAATATACTCCTGCAAAATACAAGGCTCTATCGACGTACTTCTAGCCGTTCAGGACAAATTAGCGCATAATAGCGCTTTCGGAGAATAAGTCGCATGAAGCAACGCATCGAAGAGGGAAGAAAGTGGGAAGCGTCACGGTTCAGGAGCGTGTCTGCTGAACGCTCTACGTTACCGCTATTATGACCAGAGAGCCCGCTCCTTTATTAATGTCCTCGATTAGGGTGAGAAGGTCGAAGGAAAATACACGTATAAATTACCCACAAAATCATCTTCTCTGCAAAAGTCCTCGCGTAGAGAATCATAGTATCCTAGTGGCCCGTCTCCTAAAATTATCATAGCAAGCCAGTTAATAAGACTAGTAGATATACCTCTTGGCGAGTTTAAAACGCTTGGCTCTATGCCGTTAGGCTATCGTATCTAGTGGTAGAATATTCTTATCCAGCTTCGAGCTCCTTCGATCAATCTGAATACTGCCGGGGCCACCTATGCAATCCTCTAGTTTACCCACTAGGCGGGACCCCGAGGGAGTTATAATATTCTTCGAGAAAGTCACGTGTTCTTCGAAGACACCGGAATTTCCCGTGCTCTTCTTAAGGGCTTGATAAGACCTTAAAAGGCATTAAAGACAATTGGCAGGCTTATTATACGCTTCATACTAATCTCCCTCGCATGTCGAATTAACATATTAACACGGGACGAACATTTACGGGAGAGACGTTTGGAGTTTCTTAAAAGTACTAAGGAAACCAGTATAGAATAGCTTGAGAATCTTAGCGAGAAGCTGTACGTGTCCACCGACCATGGGGAAAGGGCGGAGCTTAGCGATAGGATTCTCACCAATACTCTAATTTACTCCTTATCACTCTATCTCGACTCTCCGATCTTAAGGGTTCTTCTTCTTATATTAAATCAAGTTTATGACTTCTTGCGATACTCTATCTTAATCCAGGAAACAAAACAACCAGCGAGGCTAGTTATTTTGTTTAAATGACTTACTGTACCAACGATGGCAGCGCCTCTCTTACAGGGTCTACTAGGTCGTGGCCGAGATAATCGTTCAAAAAGGAGATACGCCCTTGAACAGTGTTATAATGAGACGGTGGCCCGTATTTCAAGCGTCCTCGGACTGGAGAAGGGTGTCGCCCGCCTATGACAACTGGGTGACTGCGGACGCCACCACTTTCGGGGCGAAATAGCGTCTGGTGTTTTATTCCAGCCTCTTAACGACGAGCTCCTCGTCAATGGCGTCACACTGACCCGCCTACCGACTGAGTATGAGAGTCGTAGTCTGTATCAGGTCCTGTTTGGGCATAAGGCTGTCGAAGTTAAGCCCACGGCCATACCAGGCATGCGGTTCTCGGCAAGGAATAAGGTTGAGGGGTATACCTTGAATTTCGGCATATTCCCAGTATCTGAACTTCTCCTTCAAGCGCAAGGCCACGATAAGCACGTGCACGAGCTCGTCCCACGTAATTGTCTTAAGCACTGCTTTCCCGTCGCGGTCGTCGAAGAATACGTTCACTAGTACAATGTGGAGAGCAAACTGGTGATCTTGTGCCAGCAGAAGAGCCCCTGGGATCTATCTAATCCGGCTTGGGTTCTAGAGGGCACCGAAGCTGAGGGACTTTGGGTTTCGGGCGCCGAAGATGGAAGCCTGATCATGTTCGAAGCAAAACGGCGGAATTTATGGAGATGATACTGAAGCCTCTTGAGTATCGTTTCCATATGCACGGCATCTTCGACTCGCGAATTGGCTTGGTTAGGATCGAGCCTCCTCTGCTGTATTGAAATCGGACAAAATAGGGAACTAAATACTAGGAAACCTGTAATCCATAAATGAATAACAGTGCGAGATCTATCAAACAGGTGGAACTGTGAGCAAGCAACAGTCAGCTTGCCCAACAATGGAAACTCCGGAAAGGAAATCATGAGAAAGAAACAAACAGCGAGAGTCTGAGGGTATCCGTCACACTGGTGGTTTTAGCTAAGGAAATCTGAACGATTTGTCCATGCTCGCAGATAGCTGCAGTTGTAAGTAGTTGGCATGAACATTTGAAATGCCTACGCATCGGCTGATAGTTGCAGGTCAGGTAAGTAGCTCTTCGGACTCACTATCCAGATCTCGCCCATACCCTCCGCCTCCTCCTCATCAGACGCGGCGGTATGTGAACTGTCCACCATATGCCATCCAGCCCGTCGTCGTCATGGCCCGGCTCATCGGCCCGTCCGCTACCAACATCAGCCGCCTCTCCTCCCTCCCCTTGCCTCTCTTCTTCCGTCGTCGTTACATGCTCCTCGGCCACCGTCGCGCCCCGAACGAACCTCGTCATCTGGCCCAGCGACATCATCTGCTCCGCGACGACCCACCAGAGCTCGTCCACCAGCACCTCGGCGGCCGCTTTGAAAACGGGCTTAAACCAGTTCCTTTCCCCACAGCCAACATGAGTTTCTTCTTCTTCTTCGTCGTCGTCCTCCTCGACGATCCCCTGCTCCGTCTCCGCGGCCGCGACCAGCAGGAACGGGACGTCGCCGGATCGCCAACGCGGCTTCTCCTCATGCGCCTCCTTCGCTTCCGCCGGCGACGTCCGCAGCACCGAGGCCACGGCGGCGGGTGACGCGCAGAGGAAGACGGGTAGATCGAGACCCGACGGGAGGACGCCAGACTCGCGCATGGCGCGATAACTGGCGCGCGCCTTCTCAACCCAGTCTCCTCCCGTCCCCGCCTCCCCCTTTCCTTCCTCGCCCTCGGCGTCTTCGTCGTCGTCGTCCATCTCGACCCAGCGGATCTCAAAAGAGCGTCGCGCCTCGGCGATCTCGTCGGCCGGCTGCCCTTCCTCCTCCAACGCCTTCTGGATCGGCATCTCCGCCATCTCCCGTGCGCGTGTGTGGAATTTGGCCACGTCCGACTCCGGCATGGCGGCGACGGCACTGGAAGTACAGAACGCGACGAAGCCCCAGGCTCCGCCGCCGTCGCCGCCCGCCCGTTTGCGCCAAATCTTGAGCCAGTCGGGGGGAGGTGGCGGAGGCCGTTGCCGCTGCTGCTGCTGCTGCTTTTGCACAGACGACGATGACGACGCGGTGGCGGCAGAAGAAGACTCTTTCTCAAGCCTAATGCGGCGCAGCTGCTCTTGCCACACGACGTGGGCCATGTCCATAACGCCGTCCTCGCCGAGCGCTTCGCGGAAGCCGGCCTGCATCTTGGCGCGCTCCTCGTCCGACAGCGCGGCGTCGTCCGCGGGTGTGGCGTGGGCATACCGCTGGAAGTTCCAGCCGGGCGGCCAGTAGGTGCTGGCGGCATCGGTATAGGAGGTGAATGAGCTGGACGATTTCGACATGGCTCTGGGTCGGAGGCGGGGTGGATAAGGTAAGTAGTGAGTTGGTAGGGTGCACGAGGGCGAGATTGATTGAGTGCAGGGGCCTACGGGCCGGGGGTGTAAGCGGGTTTTTAGTACCTAGAGAGACCGACTCAATATCCGACATGGAGTGAACAAACGCGTCTACGGCATCGATAAGGTGCACAGGGTCCACGTCAACATGGGATGTCCATAGCTCACGACGGTCTAAACATAATTGTAGCTGAGGAATGCCACTGAGTTGCGATAGACTTTAGAGCACTGGTACCAAGGTTGCGCTCGATGGTCGAAATAGACTGTGACGGGCCTGGAGAGGAGGCAGAGCCAGGGAAATCTCGAATGACGACAGTTGGGCCAGCCTTTGCGGCAGGATATAGTCAGCCAGATGCGTCAGGAGAAACTCGCTTGATATGTAGAACGTGTTTAAGCCGTAGAAGATATGGATACCTTCTTCGTACCCTACAATGCCCCCAAAGAATGGAGTTATTAGCAAAAAACCATCCGCTGGCGGTGTCTGAAGGAGGAGGCATGCGCTGAAACTTACGCCTGGCGACACGAGAGAATCCAGCTCCCACGACCACATCCGCGGTGCTTGGTGGTCCCTGTCCCAAGATCTGTTCCCATGCACAGCCCTGGCGCTCGAGGCGCGCTGAGCCGGCCCCAGCATTAGGCGGTCCAGCGCCAGATCCATGTGCACGGCGTGGTCCCCAAAGGTCTCCATGAGAATCTCGTGGCGGAACTCAGCCGGAAGGCGGAAGAAGGAGCTCTGGCGCTGAGACTGAGAGGCACTGCGACCAGCAGGGGACGTGATGGACCGTGGGCGTGGCGATGGTAGGGCTCACAGTGGTGAGGGCGTAGTCGTACGGGGCTGCTTTCGAAGCGCGCGACCTAGCCAGTGCGTGACTCGTTGACACATCGCATTGCTGTGCGAACCATCACGCTCTGTACCGCGCTCGACTCGTTGCTGCTATTCATGGCGAGGTGCATTGGATGGTGTAAAGAGGTTGATTGATCAAGAAAGCGACCATGTTGCGACAATGATCTTGCTCCGTGTATTCACTGTGGGGTAATAGCCTATTCGACCCTAGCCCCAGCCCATGCAAATGAATATTAAATGGCATCAGTTCATGCTTGGTCTGACGATTCCTACCGCGAACTAATACCATTATTCAGTCCTCGCTTCATAGCCGCCCTTCATGGGCCAAGCTTGCCAGGGCTGGATACTGAACAAATATACATGTAACGTCTCATTATGCCCAGCCGACCTGATTCGATTTGAAGCAAGCTTATGGCTGAGGATGAGGCTGCGTGGAGGATTCTGACCGAGCCTCACCAACCAACCCCCTGGAAAAGAACCAGAATATTCAGCAAGCGGCACAGTCAGCATGTAAAAATAAACGGTTTATTTTTGCGGCCCTTGTCAAGGGGATAGCACAGACTGGAACACAGCACTGGGAGGCTAGAATTAGTACCTAGAATCCCGCGTCTACACATATCATGTCAGCGCCAAAAGACGCCACAGAGGCTCCCGGGATTGTTGGACTTGAAATATGCCCGGTTGATTTGCTTCCACCTTCTCCAGAAGCCGATCAGTTAACGAATGCGCGACTGGGGACGACTTCATGCGCTGCGCGGAAGTGAACGGCGGTCTGGATGTCACGCTCTCGATCGTGGAGACTGTTCACCATGAGGGGTCGGGCCTAGCCAGGGCGCGATGTGCCGCCGATGCTCACAGGTGACACAGGGACTGCGCGGCACAGGTCAGCCGTTTTACTGCTTCCGACAAGCAGAGACCAGTACTCTTGCTCGCATCGTGGTCGCTAACGATACTCCGGAGCATTCGAGGGCTGCTGCACAGCGGTGCATCGACCCTGGGTCCGGGTGGAGGACGTCCAGGCCCCAGGAGCGCGCTCTGCTGAGCTTTCTGGCCGGCCGGGCTCCTAGAGGCCCGACCGTTGGTCGGCGCGTCTTATATTTCGTCTTGTACGAGCCTCTGCATAACGTTATGGTGACATGGAGCAGACGCCTTGGGGGCGTGGCGATAAGGTACGGTTGAGTTGCTACGCTAACGGCTGGTAGCCGCGTCAACGTGTCGCGCGCCAGACGCGTAGACGCGACGTCTCCGCACCAAAATGTACCTGGGAGTATCGGACGGAGCTGCCTGATGTTCAATGTCCCCTCCCCGCACTGGCTCTATCAAGCCTTGCCTTCCTACGTCTGTGACTCGAGCGATACAAGTAATGATCTCCCCATTCGTGTGGTTGGGGGCGCCCCATCGCTCGCCACGGCCATGTCGGTGCTCCTTACGACTGTGACCCCGTGCGCCCTGTCCAGTATAGAGCACGGCCGGGCTTGTCTCAGACGCCCAGGCTCGCGCCGAGGCGTAGGTAAGGCTACGCGTTTCACTTTAGGAGATACACAAAGACATTCCTATTCGACTCAACGATACGTGCTTGATTGCTTCGCGTAGCTCATATTTACAAGTATGAAGATGATGATGAACAACAGCTCAGAAGAGAAGGAAGATGATGAGTTCTCTATCTAAAGAACATGCTGATGCTATGAAAAGAAGGAAGAACGCGATAGCGCGAAGATGCTGCCTTTGTGGGCAGCTGTGGGCCGAATGTATGTGTCAGAACTGGGTTTGATGAAGAGAGTGAGAAGGTGCACAATGTCTAGAGGGCGCAGCTAGACCGCTGCGAGTACGGGGTCCTTAGTGACTGTATTAATCTCTTGATCTTCCTAGAAGCATTCTTCGGCTACGAAGGTTCTTCCCTCGGTACGCCCCTATGCACGTGACCTAATTAGGGCTTCCTGAGCTATATCCAGCCATAGGGCTAGTGGCTTCAGCCACCCCTGATGCCTATAGCAACCTTTGTATGTAATATATATCTAATAGAACGCCCCTCTCCACGTATACCGTCCTCGGCATCCACGCATACGCGGCGTATTTATAGCGACTATACTAAGTCTATACGGCGAGGCTAGTATTCGGTAGTTTTATCTTATCTTTAATTAACTCTAACCGTATAATTAACTTTCCTTTAACCTATCTTATTATAGCGTTCTAACCGCCCGGTAGATTAATTCGCTAATATTATTAAATCTTCCTTATATCGCTAATCTTATTCTTTTTTTTTTCTTTTTCTTTACCCTTTCGAATAAGTATATAGCTTAATGCCTCGTTATTACGAATTCGCCGCTAATATATAATAGTTTAATATTCCCTATACTATCGCCGCTATTATAGTAATAATAATAATACGTAAGTACTACCCTTACTATATAACGCGTATCGCGTATACCGCGCGCTTATAGCGCTAATATAGTAGTAGTAGATATACTATCTATATACCTACGCCCCCGCCGCTACTAATAGTAATAATAATAATATAAGTTTAAGACCTTAATATTCTTACGTAGCGAGGGCGTTATATACTCGCACTCTCTAATACGAAATCTTAGATAACTAACTCTCTTTACGCTAAGGATGCCGCCGAGGGTATTACTATAAGTCTCTTTTAGCGCGTTTAATATATTCGCGTTATAGTCTTATTACTAACCCTTTTTACGTAACTAATTAATAATACCGACGTTAAGGCTAAGGCCGCTAAGGCTAAGAAAGAGGCCGTTATTATAAGCTCTTAATCTATATATTATATACTTATTACGAGGTATTTAATCCTTTCTTAGAAAAAAAAAAAAAAAAAAAAAAGTTCGCCGTTATTATTATTATAAGTTACTAACGTTCGCGTAGTATATACTTAGCGAGTTTAGCTTACTTATTATAAAAGAGAAAGGCCGATAACGCTACCGCCGCTACTATAAGTTCCTTTATCTATATCTTCGGGTCTTTAGCTAACTATCTTATAGAGGCTAAAGGTATAAGTTACTACCGCCGCTAAGGCCGAGGCTATTATAAGTTCTTTACTTAATTATACTAAAGTCGTTATTAATTTACCTAGTAAAAGGAAGATAAGGCTAAGGGTAAGGCTAAGACCCCTAAAAGCAAGCTCGTTAAGTAAGTTCTATTATTTATTAGCGAGTTCGTAACTAATTCGTTATATAGTCGCGGCGCCCCTTACGATAGGTGCCTTAAGTACCTTATTAATATCTATCTAGGCTATATAAGTCTACTACCCTTAGGGAGGTAGACTATTATAACGATAGCGAGGGTAAGTAATAGCGTGATCGTACTAAGCTCGCGGCGTACTAATTTTATCTAAGTCGCTAGCACTAAGTGCTAGAAGTATACTAATAACGGCCGGGCTTGCGAGCTTACTAAAAACACTCGGATATACTCCCTAGCGGTAAAGCTATACACCGATCCCGTAAGTCGCCTCTATATCGCTATAAGGTAGTTACTAACGTATAACTAGACCGATAGGACCACGGCCCTAGAGCTTAAAAAGCTCCGGGCTATTACGAAAGAGAGGGCTAAGAAAGCTAAGATTACCCCCGCCGCCGCCGCTACTAGTCCTTATAGCTCGCGCGCCGCTACCTAGTAACTAGCGCTATCGGAGTAGATCGCCCGGCGTCTCTACGCCGAGGATATAAGTCTTACTTTTCCTTTATCCTCGCTATATACTCGTACGATACTAACTCGCCGGTAGTTCGTGCCGCTCCCGCCTCTATCGGACAAGGAGATAACTAAGGAGGACGAGTCTAAGGAGGATTAATAGTAGTATCTATCCGTCTATCCCGGCCCTCGCGCTAGGGGTGGAACGGAATTCCCTGCACGGCCCTGCACGTGCCAGCTTGGGCGCTCATTACTGCTGGCGCTCTCACCCCGCCAAGGTGCTGTGGCGTCGCGTATCAGCGAGGTCAGCCTTGGCTGAAGCGCACGGAAGTATGTACACCAGCACGGCTCTTCAGCCTCATTTCATTAAACAAGGTACTTTGACTTGCACAGCGCTGCTCGACCATCTCAGCCGCCGTCATTGCTCCCTCTGCGCACATCATGGACACAGCTGCTAGTGACACCGATGATCCCCAACTTCACCAACTCACGTACAAGCGCGCCCAGTTTGTCACCTGCCCAGCATGTCGCCATGGCGGCACCACCGTTCTAGCAAAGGAACGCCTCTCCGGATGGCGGTGAGTCTGCGGAGCACTGGCTGCCCAAGATGACAAGCGCAAGCTGACTGCAGTAGGTATGTAGTAGGCACTGGCGTCACCCTCGTCTTCGCGCCCCTCACCATGGGGATCATGCTATACTTCCTGCCGCTAGTATTCAGACCTCAGTTCGTCACCCACTCCTGTCGTCGCTGCGGCCTACGCCTCGCCATCGCTACAGCCGGCCTAGGCGAGTCTCAGTATACTATACCTATGGACGTCGAGGACCATTGTTTTGTCCCGGCGCCGGAAGACTGGCGACCTGACCTTGCCCGGCTACCTGGTGGTATACGCGTCGCCAAGTCGCCGTTAGGACCGCGCCCTGAGATACCCGAGCCAGAAATGAAAGTCTGCAGTAAGCGCTTCATTAGGTGCCATCCGCACGCGAGGCTTGTACTTCTGGCCGGCAACACGGCGGGCAAACCCATTCGTTGTATACGAGCGGGTGGCAACGACGCCAGCAGCCGCCGGGCTCATCAGCTGTCTTCAAGCATCAGCCATCGCGATACAGAGGAGGTGCTCTATGAAATTCACATTTCGAACGCCCGTATCACGGTTATGATGCGACCGCCGCCGGAGGACGCCGTCACGGAGGAGTGGCCATTGTATACGAATAATCAGGGTGCTGCCAAGCAACAAGAACCAGCACGAGTAGCAGCAACAAGCGCACAAGCGCCACAGCCCTTTACTGAAGCATGTCACATCTGCTTTTCCCCAGGCTACGACCGTAGATACTCCTCCGTCATGTACCTTCCGCCCCAATCAACCTCCGGCAGTGAGACCGCCCATATCAACAACGTCCCGCCCCACCAGCGTACACAGTTCTCAGCCGCCATGCCCATTTGGCGGTGGCAGTCGTCCCAGGGTGGCCTTCTCTGGGTATCTCGCCGCTTTCGAGACGCCGATATGGCGGCGCTCGAGACGAGACTCTGCCTCGTCGACGATTATGGCCGGCTCGTGGCGGTCTTGGATAACTGGAACGGGGTGCGCTTTTCGTCGGTGGAGGCTCACCAGTCTGGCGGCACCGGTGGCGACTCGGGTCGCCGGAGTGTCCTAACCCTATATGCGGATCTTGACGCGGCCCTGCTGGGAGAAGTGTTGGGGAGCCTGTGTGCTCTAGCCTTACAGGTTTGGCGTGTCACGGCCGAGCTCAAGAAGGAGAAGGATGAGAGAAGGCAGGATAATGCTTGATGCACGTAGATTCAAAGGCCATTCAAGCACGAACACAAATCCACCCTGTGCCACCTGCTCGCCTCCGCCGTATCTGTCCAGGGAAGCATCCTCTGGAGCGAGAGGCGGTGGATTCTCGACCTGGTGCCTTTCTATCACTTTGACCGCACAAGTCCAGCAGCCATGCGGCCGGAACTATATGATAGGATGGCCAGGGTGATGCGGACGCACGCCGCCTCGAGCCTTGCCTGTTAATTTGGACGTGCGCGGACGACGCCCGCGCTGCTCGGCGGAACCAGGAGTTTCTCCTAGTTGCCGAGTGACATAACCTCCTGTGGAATGGTCCCCACTGCACTGGTGAGGACTGCTCGTACGTTCGTGCGGCTCGAGGGGACGCGACGATCATGGACAGCTGATTCGACCACGGGCTTGACAGGTGGTGAGGGACTTTTAGAACCTAGTCCGAATGGGTGGCAGTGGCGTCTAAACCGCACACTCTGGGGGCGGTTGCGGCTTCTCGATACCGTCGCCACGTCGCCGAGGTATCTGAAATGCGGTCGTGGAGACGGCGATCAGCACTGTTCCAGCCGACAGCTGCGACAATTATGTTTCCTATGAGGGCGCCTTGGACAAGTCACTTGACAAGAAGCGAGGGGGCTTGTCAGTATCCACGATGCGCTGGAGCTGGAATGTCGAGTGTAGCACAATAGCTTCCCCGCCAGAAGCGAGGCCCACAATGCAACAGTACCTAGCCTGGACGCTCTCGCTGTCGCCCTGCCACTTCAATATTGTGGCGGCTGCTGCCGCGGTTGGGACACCAGTGGCAAAAACTCGCCTAGTCGCGCGTAGTGGACAACATCAATGTGCGGCTTAGTATCTTTCATGGCACGTCTCTGTGAGTACAGCCGCCACGGTGCTTGGTGCTGCGCAGTGTTGCTGATGACCTCGCTGCTTTTTGAGGCATCGAATTGTGAAAAAGGGTTACCGCCTAAGGTATCACCCGCCTTTGTCCTGCGAATGGTGCTTAATCTCAAGCTGTGACGCATTTTACTTGGAGGCATCGTCGCGGATTCGTGGAGAGTCCTATCTGGTTGGGTATTAATCAGCGGCGATTGTCTCGGGCGTATGCATTGTTGTGGTGTTCCCGTGCGGTCGTGATTGAGGACTGGGGGCTCGGTCTGGTAGGTGTCGTCCGTGTCTGGCTCGCTAAGGTCGATGGGGTGCTTCTTGAAGCCTGTCGAACGGGTTAGCAATTGGCAGATTCGGATTATTTGGTGGGAGGAGGCAGGCGTGGTAACATCTCTTGGCTGCCTGGCTTATAGCTCGGGAAGAATGCCAGTAGTGCGACGATGTTCTCCTAAGTAGCGTGCCAGCATCGATTTCTCGGTTGACATGGAAGTGAACCCAACACCCAAGACTGCTGACGACACCACTGCGAGCGTTGTTGGGGCCTTTGAACCTCTAGTCCTTGCTCTCCTGCATCAGATGATAGATTTCCTCCTTGCTGCGACCCTGAGCAGTAAAGTAAGATCCGCCATGTCGGTGTCGAATTCTGGACTGTTCTGGATAAAGAATGGTACGGTGTTGAAGCGCGGATGGAGGCTCCCGGAAAGATCATCCTCGTCGAGGGCAAGAGTCCTCGGTTTCGATTTCTAGGGCATGGCGTCGCTTGGCTCGTGCGAAAGATTAAAAGGTTCGGGTACACCGCAGGTTGGGAAATGGCTGAGGTGGTGGGCTACTTAAAAGGCGCAAACAAACGTTGGATCGCTATGTGATACGGTATTCTCCTGGTGATCAATTGGGACGCCTAGTCCAGACATGCAGATAAAACTAGTAGGCATTTATCCGAGGAGCTGAGGGCTGCAGGCCTGTGAGGATTGTATCATCAGATATAGGTAACTAAGAGTGCCTATGCACTTAAACTTGGCATCGCTAGCTACAACTGCGCGCGGTGGAGGGGGGGCGTAATCCTGCATGCACTAGCAGGTCGCGTGCTCCGAAATGGTCTGTCTGCTATTCCGCGCGTCCGCTTATGCAGATACACGCATTGCGCAGTCCCCCGAGAGCGCATCTTCTCCCTCTTTTCTTAACGCAGGCATTGCGCATTATTCTTCGGGGCCGGAGGCGACAATATTATTGCGCGCATTGCCGGTCCATTTACGATCCATCTTGCGGTTCTACATGTAGACGGGTCTGGCGATGACAGCGAAGGCCTAGTTGATAGGGCGTAGCGCGAACCCCAGAAGCTTATCGCTAGCCTGGGTCTTTACGTACTCCATTTTGAAACCTTAATCGTGGGCCGCGCCGCCCATGAGGATTTTATCAGGGATTAGCTTCCTATTTATCTTGGCCATGACGCCATCATATGCGGAGGGGACGCAAGCCAACGCAAGCCAAGGCTTAGCATGTTGCCACACCTCCATCCTTCGGTTGACTGTCATGAGCACCAGGCCCACAATCAAGGGAGGTTTAGCCAATGGATGTCCTGGACGCTTGCTCATTCGATAATGGCCCGCGTCTTCCAAGCAGTACCACAGGTACCTTCCGACCATCGATCGATTGCATCACAGTCCTGAAGGCAACGACTTCATGTTCGCTGGCTCCCGACAATCGCTGGTGCCTTGTGGAGTGTGTGGCCCAGATCCGCTCTGCCATGCATCGAAACGTCGCATGATGGATGCCTTTGATCCCTGACTCAAGTGATAGCGCGGGACGAAGAGGCTCCATCATCTGATGAGCACTCTTGGCTTCGGACACGATCGATTTCCTTAATAACTGCCCCCTCCCCCCCTTATGTCGTGCTACGCAGCACTAAGCATCACACAATCCTTACCCTACTTGCCATCAGTATCGAGGCAATCTGAGTCACTATTCCCATCCGACACCAACCAGACACAGACCGCGATAGTTCCTCATGGAGGCACTCAAGAAAATCGGCCGCTTCCTTGCGCCGCCTCCCGACAAGGGCGAGGATGGCCGTGACCAGTGGCCGTCGCGTGCCTCCTTCATCCTGGCTTCCATGGGTGGTGCTGTCGGCATGGGCAACATGCTGCGGTTCCCATCCCAGGTCTACAACAACGTCGGTCTGCAGTGGTTCGTCCCTTACCTGCTCGCCGTCTTTCTGTTGGCCATTCCTGCCCTCGCGCTCGAGCTCGCAGCGGGCAACGCCTATCGTGGCGGCTGCGTCGTCGCCTACAATTCCATCAGCACGCGGATGAAGGGCACGGGCATGGCTCTCAACTATGTCGGACTCATCGTTGTAACCTACTTTGTGCCCATTCTCGCTTGGATCATGGTTTATTTCCAGAACTCATTCTCCAGCCCTTTGCCGTGGGAAGGCCGCGGACAGGAGTATTTCATGTACCACGTGGTCAGCGCAGTCGACCCCGTTGAAAAGAATGGCTGGATCACCTACCCCGGCACCAAGCTCGTTGGCGATCTTATGGGCTGGAACACCTTCACTTGGTTCCTCGTCTGGCTGTGCATGTTCCGAGGCGTGGGCATGACCGGTCGTGTCGTCTACTTCACCATGGGTCTGCCTATCATCACTATGATCATCATCCTTGGCCGTTCCGTCTCGCTCGAGAATGCCGGAGAGGGTATCAAGCTATACTTTGGTTCGTGGTTCAGCGAGAAGCTCGCCGGAGGCAAAATCTGGCAAGATGCAGTTGGCCAGGTCTTTTTCTCGACTGGCGTCGGATTCGGATACTACACGGCCTACGCCTCGTACAACCGTGCCAAGGCCAACACTGTGCAGGATGCCTTTATTATTGTGTGCGCCAACTGCCTCTTCGAGACCATTGCCGCCTTTGCCGCCTTTGGTGTTGTGGGCTTCTTGAGGCTCTGGCCCTGGGAGAACGAGGCTCTCGGGACGTATAGTCTTGGATTCGTGACCTATCCTGAGGCGATTCTTGCGATGCCTGGCGCCAACTTCTGGGCTGTCTTGTTCTTCTTCACCCTCATGCTCCTCGGTGTCAGCTCGTCTTTTGCCATGTTGGATGCTGTTGTGACACTCGCCATGGACTCGGAACTGGGCAAAAAGCACAGTCGCCCAGTGGTCGCCACCACGATTGTCATTGTGTCCTTCCTGCTGTCTATTCCCTTCTGTACTGAGTTTGGCTACTGGTACATGGACGGTGTCGACCGGTGGATCAACAACATCGGCCTCGTCTTTGTCGTGTGGGCCGAGTGTACCTTTTCCACCACCCTCTACCGCTACAAAGACGTTGTGGGCCAGGTTGGAGCCCCGGCCTTCTACACCTACAACTGCGCATACTTTGGCTCTCAGGTCCTGGGTGTTGCCATTGCACATGCCGTCATGCCTGGGGTTGGTGCGGGCGTCGGCTTTGCTATCTTTTTCATCGGTGCCGCCATCGCATTGTTCATCTCCAAGACACCCGACTCCCCAGGCACTCCAAAGTTCTGGTCCAAGAACAAACTCTCGAGCGCCCTGTTTTATCTAGCCTTCTACTCGGTTCGTCAATGTCCTTCCCGTCCAGATGAACTCATTTACTGACCGCTGCCAGGGCGAACAACTAAGGCTGGACTTCAACAATGTTGTCGGTCTGGGCAAGAACTGGACATTTCCAAGTTTTTGGGCCCCTCTCCTGCGATACGTCACCGGGCCCATTCTGGCCATCATCTTTTCTTTCGCCTACCCTTCCTTCCAGACTGTGAAGAATGACCCGGTGTACATTTTCGGATTCGTTGCAGCCCACTTCCTCCTTGTGTGGGTTCTTTCCGGTGTCTTTTATCCCCGGTGGTTGAATGTCTTTGTACCCGTTGAACGCAGGGATGACGGCGTCATCCCTTACGCTCCGAATGTGCCCCGAGGTGTCATCTTTGGCGAAGGTTCTGACGAGGCCGTCGAGACGGGCTCTGGAACCAGAGACTATGATGGCAAGGAGAAGAAGTCGGATTCTGAACCGATTGCCTCTTAGGAGCTCTTGTGAAATTGTCGTGTGACGGGATTGCCGGGATGATTACCTGTGTTTGTCGTGAGTCGTCGTTCTATGTGACAT